CTCACTCTGATTGGTCCGTTGCCTCACTCTGATTGGTCAGTTGCCTCACTCTGATTGGTCCGTTGCCTCACTCTGATTGGTCAGAGCGAGTGATTTGTGGGAAACACATGTGAGTAATGGAAGCGTGTGAGTTTGGAGATGTTTCTGTCCGCTTCGCGTCGGATTATTTTGTTCTGTGAACGTTGTGAGTGAATGATCTGGAATCTGGACGGGAAAGCAAACATGAGCCACAGCTGAGTCATTTCCCATCAGGCCTTTCTTATTCCCAATTTCTGCTGAAGTCCACTGGTGGAGACGGTCTTTCATTTTCATGACAATGTCAGAGCTTTTAGGATTAACACTGCTTTTCTCCTGTGTCTTGGGCTCACAGAGAACAACAGAAGAAATTAGATTTTGCTTAAACAAAATGAAGCCTAATTTAGGACTACGAAGAGTTTTTGCAGTATTTTCATCACAATTAAACACAACATGTGACCCTGCAGCACAAAAGCGGTCTTAAAGGGGTCATATGATGCAATTTCATTTTTTCCTTTCTCTTTGGAGTGTTACAAATGATGCATAAACCTCAATTTCACAAAATTGACCCTCATGACTGGTTTTGCGCTCCAGGGTCACACATCATGAATGTTTGTGGCAGGTTTTGTAGTCTCTGTCGCTCCTGCAGATGCGCTTCATCCCATCGTTTCTCCTCCACTCAGAGTTTATTGTCGAGTCGAGGCTTTAACGCCAGCGTCAGTCGAGCCGATCGAAAGCGCATAGCAACGCTTCTGTCACGATCTTTCTTAAGCGTTGGTCTTTGGGTTTTCTCAGCGGTGTGGACTCCGACAGCCTTCTCGTTTTCTCTCCATCATGCATAATAAAGCGTGAGTGTTGGCTGTGACGGGAGAACAGGAAACACATCTAACACCTCTGATTCTCATGCTAATGAGACGAACCGGCCAATCCGCCGCTGATATTTCACGCCCGCACACATCCGTGCAAATTACAATTGTGTGTTCGTGCGAGTGTGTGCAATGGATCCTGGTTGGTTGCTATGGCAACACACATACACACACGCACACACACACACACACACACACATGCGTGCACACGGTTGCACTAGAGCCGTGATCACTATTCTAACATTTCTTTATTTCTGTATTTGCGCTGGCGTCCGCTGCAGCACAAAATGGCTTGGCTGCTGTTTGTTATCGTCTCAGAGTTGCTCTGCCCCGATAACACACAAACACGACAGATAAACACAGAACTAATCTGAAATACAGGGATTTTTTGTGTGCTTTAGTTTGTGTGTGTGTGTGTGTGTGTGTATAAATACACACATTATAATAATAATAAATAGTTTTTTATGATTTTGCTCACCAAAGTTTATTTGCATTTATTTGATCAAAAATATTGTAAAAATTGTGAAAATTAGAATGATTTCTGAAGATCATGTGACACTGAAGACTGGAGTAATGATGCTGAAAATACAGCTTTGATCACAGAAATAAATTACAGTTTAACACATATTCACATAGAAAACAGCTGATTTACATTAGAATAATATTTCACAATTTTACAGTATTTTTGATCAAATAAATGCAGCCTTGATGAGCATTAAAGAATCTTAATTATTCCAAACTCCTGACTGATAGTGTATGTACAATACATAAATATAATAAAATTGCATACAATAGTTGTACATTTTATATAATGAAATGTTAGAATGTTTATTTTGCTTAACTAATAATTAATATTTGACATGGTTTTTTGTAGATGGAAGATGGTCAGACGCTCTTCGATTATAACGTCGGTCTTAACGACATCGTCCAGCTTCTCATTCGCTCGCAGACGGACGCGCCAGACAGCCCCTCCCCCAACAGCGATGAGGGCGTGGCCTGTGCCGTAGCCCCGCCCACCACAGCATCTGCCCCCGCCTCAGCCACACCCACCACAACAGTCGTTTCCCCGGCAACCGTCGCCAACAGCAACGGAAACGGGTCCAAACCCTGCAGCCTGGCGCCGGAGAGCCAGCCGTCCACATCCAGCCGGACGCTGCTCCTCGATCCCGGGATCGGACTCTTAAGAGTAAGAACAATACTGTCTGCATGCTAACTCTATGTGACTGTTAGCGACAGAGCGACACACGTCATAATCTGAAAACAATCCAACGATCTCCATTGACTCTGTATTGCAGTGTGGGCGTGGCCCAAATGCGCTCTGTCTCTATAGTTTCCAAAAAACTTATAAATAATTGTAGCATTGGTCATGACTGACTCTTTACTCATTACTCCTTAGATTGTAGGCAAATTATACAGTTTATGGTGAATTATTCTGTGTATTTTTAAAATATTATTGTTTTTGTATTACTTCTAAAATACTATATTATTAAAATATTATTTTAACAATAACAATATTTTAAAATATTATTTTCGTTTTAATATTATTGTTTTGAAATAATTTTTTTGTTATTATTTGTCACATTGTTTTTTTATTAATTTAATCTAACATAGGGTAATTGTACTAAATTTACACATTAAATTGAAAGTGCTACAAAACAATTTTATATGCATTAATCATAGCAATAAGTTTGTAATATTATTTAATATTTACACGAGTCGGGTAGAAATTCTAACATTTGGAATTATTATTATTATTATTATTAATGGCAATATAATTAATAAATCAAAAATATTATTTTAGTTTTTATATTATAATTTTTATATTATTATTATTTTTTATTACATTGTTTTTTATTAATTTAATTTAAAATGTATTTTAAAATTAACCCATTGGATTTCTACATGCCATAAAATATTATATGCATTAATAATAATAATAAATGTAATCTCTTTATTATTATTTACCATTTATTATCCATTTACCATTTATTTATCTATTTATTACCATTCATTATTTATTACCTTTATTATCATTTATTAACAATAATGGCAATACAATTTATAATCAAAAACATCATTTTAGTTTTCATATTATGATTTTTATATTTTTTATTGTTTTTATCACATTAATTTCATCATTAATTTAATTTAACATTAATTAATTGCATTAAAATTAACACGTTAAATTTCTACATGCTATAAAACATTATATGCATTAATAATAACAATAATAAATGTAATCTCTTTATTATCCTTTAATATTTAGTATTTACCAAAAGTGTGAATTCTAACATTTGGAATAATAATAATAGTAGTAGTAATAATAACAATAGAATTATATAATAATGATAATTATTATTATTATTAGTTTAATAATTATAATAATAATAATTATTATTATTATAGAAAAATATATATTTTTTATTTTTATTTATGATAGTTATTATTATTATTATTATTATTTGTGTCCCTGGAGCACAAAAGCAGTGTTAAGTCGCTGGGGTATATTTGTAGCAATAGCCAACAATACATTGTATGGGTCAAAATTATAAATTTTTCTTTTATGCCAAAAATCATTAGGATATTAAGTAAAGATCATGTTCCATGAAGATATTTTGTACATTTCCTACCGTAAATATATCAAAACTTAATTTGTGATTAGTAATATGCATTGCTAAGAACTTCATTTGAACAACTTTAAAGATGATTTTCTCAATATTTAGATTTTTTTGCACCCTCAGATTCCAGATTTTCAAATATTGTCCTATCCTAACAAACCATACATCAATGTTAAGCTTGTTTATGCAGCTGTCAGACTGGTTGTGTGCTCCAGGGTCAAGCGCTCTAACAGTAGCTGTGTTGTTCAGGTGAATGAGTTAGTGGACTGCAGGGACGTCAGCATCGGCGCCTGGTTCGAAGGCGTGATTGAGAAGGTCTCTCCTGCATCTAAAGGACAGAACGGCAGAGTCGGCCGACCCAGCAAACGCACTAACAACAAGCTGGAGTCTGAGCCTTCATCCTCATCATCCTCATCATGCAGGGACACTCACAGCACAGCGCTACACTCGGACCAACCGTCCACGTCCCAAACGGATCCGCCGCACGTCTCCTACCACATTAAATATGAAGAGTAAGTGCATCATGGGAAGGAAGGCTCGTTGTTTTTCCCTGCTTGTCTGGATGTTGGTTTCTAAAGCGCTGTTTGGCACTGGATTGGCTTTATTGCTGTGAGGAGGTGCATGATGGGATGCGTTCTGAATGCGGTAAGTGCATCGATTCCAAGAGCAATGCATGCTGGGAAACCGATGCTGATTGGGAGCTCATGCTGATCCGAGAACAGCGTTTGTGCTCAGGTCACATGGTTTGTGTTGATGATTCATGTTTGTTGTTTTTTAAAAATCTGGGTTCAGTTTTTTTTTTTAAAATATACTAATAATATACTAATATATTCTTTATTAATGTATTCTACTAATATATTGTTTTCTTTTTATTGATTATACAATTAACAAAAAAGCAAAAAAAGCCTCTAACACTGCTCTATTGCTCTTTTGAGCCAAATTACAGGAGGTTAAAAATGACTTCAGAAAGATGGCAGCATCGTAATGTTATTTTTACACAGAGATTGGTTGCTTTATTAGTAAAATATGTTGACTTCAGCAATCTTTGTTGCATTATGTGCCAATGGTGAGCATTCAAAAATGGGGAAACAGCACTTACCCCATATCTCTGGTTCTGAACGATGTAGGGCCTTAAAAATTAATACGTCTTGAGTTATAGGCACACAAACTTCAAGGGTATGTTCAATGCAGTTGTTTTGACAGAAGGAAACAAGATACATTTCTAGTTTCAACATTATTTATTCTTCAGACTTTCCTCTTTAAAAGAAAATAAGTATCATATTTTTGCAAAGTGACCCACATTTGGTTTTTGACCATTGACAATGTGTACATTTTAACAATTTACTCCAGGAGCCATATTGAAATTCCAATATCTCTGGAACCGAACCATATAGGGTCTGAGAGCTGGACGTTATGAGAAATGAACTGCTGAGAATGTGAAACATGTTTATTTTCTAAAGGGTCAGAAGAGCCGGAGCTGATGAAACAC